CTCTCTCTCTCTCTCTCTCTCTCTCTCTCTCTCTCTCTCTCTCTCTCCCTCCCTCTCTCCCTCCCTCTCTCCCTCCAGCTGCATGGTTGACTCATCGCCAGAGCTACTAATTACAGCCCTCAGAGACGCCAGGGATGGGTGGGGAAGAGAGGGGGAAACGCAGGCGGCCTCAGAGCTTATTTTGGTAACTGCCTGACCTCCCTCCCCTCTGCCCTCCCCCCACTCTGGGGTCACCCAGCCAGCCCCCTGTGGCAGGGACACACTCGAAGAACCTCAAATGCAAACTCAAGTGGGACATGAACCTCACTTTCCACAGGAGGGAGACTGAGCCCCAGGACCACACAGCCCCACCCCAAGGTCCAGCACCCAAGGGAGAAGCCAGTCAACGCAAGGGTATGTGAGAGAACATTCAGAGAGAGGAAGAAAGGGGCTGTGAAACAGCTGGCTGTGCCTTCGCCCCTCTCCAGAGCAGTTGAGAAGAGGCCTTGGGTGAGGAGGGGGGAGCTGGGAATGGGATGTACCTCCTCTCCTGCCCAGGCTTAGGGCCAATCCGTACCAAAGGCAGCCCGGGACACTACAAGTCCTGAGGCCCCCGACCCAGACAGCCGAGGCCCTGAGCCACCGAGGCTGGGGATCTGAAGGCTTGTGAGCCGTCCTTAGGGCTCTTTCTTCTGTTCCCTGGTTCTCCCCTTTTCCAAACTGTCATTGGGAAAGGGGTTGGGACCGTTCCCTTCCCCTGAGGATTCTCCAGAGAGGAGGGGGTGGGCCAGGGAAGGGACAGCCCCCCAAGGCATAATGGAGTCCCTTCCTTTCTCAGCCCCTAGTAGCTGTGATTTCTCTTGTTGCCAAGGGAACTCTGCAAAGAAGTGTCAATACGTATACCCTCCACCCCGCCACACTCACATTCCCTCCCTCCCGCGTCCCCTTAGCAACCTCCGTTCACTGGTACCAGCACCCCTAGCCTGGCTTCTCACAGTGTGACCTTGGCCCTCTCCAGACCACTTCTCTCCCAGCATTCTTGAAGGCCCACTGTAGTCTAGCTTCCTGCCCTCTCACTTTATAGCTGGGGGAACTCAAGGCCCATAGTAGGGAAGAGACTTGTCCAAGGTCACCAAACAAGTCAGGAAGAGCTGGAGCTCTGAGTCAGCCAGGGTCTGCAGGAAGGAGGCTGAGGGGCCAGGCCTCACCCTGTCCTCCCAGATGCCAGACGTCTCCCTTGGTGCCAGAGCTCCCCCTCACCCCTCCCCGTTTCCCCCAGCGCCGGATCTCCTTCTGTCCCTCCCAGATGTCAGACCACACTCTGTCCCTCCCCAGTGCCAGACAGATGTTTCTCGCCTCCAATCCATCCCTCCCAAATGCAGAGCTCACGCTGCCCCTTCCAGATGCAGTAGCTAGCCATGCCTCACCCTCCTCCCCTTCCCATACTCTCCCTCCCATCCAAAAGGAAACAGGGACTGACCTGACTGTTCGGGAGTTCTCCCCATCGGACCTGCAAAAGGGATTTGGGGAGGCAGGGAAAGGGGGGAGAAAAGTAGACAAGGAATTAGGATTCTATTGGGGAAGTAGAGACCTGGCCCCCTCCCCCTGGGAGCCTAGCCCTGCGTCAGTCAGGAAAGACATTGGCTCTCAGCGTATCTACAGAGAGGCAGATCTCGGCTCTATCAGGCTGAGTATCCTGCCAATGAAGCCAGACACCCACACTTTCTGGTTCTATCCCTCTGACTGTCCTTTTCTGTCGATCTCTCTCTCTCTGTCTCTCTCTCAAAGATCACTGCCGTCCTGGGCTAGAAAGGACTTTCCCATTCTGGGGATGGAAAAACTGAACCCCAAAGAGTCCAAGGCAGCAAACCTCACAATGAAACGGTTTGTCCTGCTAATAAAGAGAGAGGCAAATAAGGGGTGGCTCTCTGACAGGTGGGGAAGGCGATGTTGAGAAACGTAGATAAGGCGAAAATAAGAGCTACCAAGAAAAACTGATTTGAAAAAACCCTCAATGGCAGGGCAAGAAAAAAGCTGAGACCACAGATTCGAACTCTCTCCTTCCCCAGGGGAGGAAATGGAGGCCTGGGAAGGGAAAAGGACCTCAGGTACAATAACATCTGAGAAAGAAGGGCCCTTACAGCACAAGGCAGGCACCATGGCCCTGCCCACCTTCCCGCAATGCTACCGAGGGAAGGAGGGCCAGCGCACATGGGAATTCACTAGAACCTCTCTCTTCCCAGAAGCAGCCCAGGGGAAGGAGCCCTTGGGGAACCAAGTCCCGGTGGCTGGAAAGCGGAAGGGGGAGAAGGCCAGGGAGGGCTGTCAAAGGGGCACACAGCAGCTGCCCCCAACCCAATACTTGCAGAGTCAATGACAGGTAGAGGAAGAAGATGAAGAAAGACACCAACTATTGAGCAGGAAGGCTGACCGTTGGACAGGAGCCTTGGACTTGGGTTTGGCCTGACTGGGAGACCCAGAGGAAGACCCACCCCCAGCTGGCAGGACTCAGCAGGAGAGCCCATTTCCCAGCCCCAGTCCCAAGGTGCCGTAGGTATGCGTCTCCTTCTCATCCTCCCTGGTCCATCCTTCAAGCAGGAAACCACCGTCACTTCTACCTCCCTTCACCCCATGGCCCACATGCATCTAATTCTTCTCTCCTGCTCCCCTTCTTCTGAGAGGAAGCCTGCCGCCCCCCCCCCCAATCAAGGCAGAGACCAGGACTCACTGGGGCCCAGACCTGCAAACTGGGAAAGCAGTGGGGCTCTGGCTTAGCAAGGCACAGCTGTGGCCAGAGTCAGCCCAAGGATCACTGGCCTGGGGGTTGGGGGGAAAGTGTAACAGTATGGGCCCTCCCCCACAGCAGACTGAGCAGAGAGAGGAATCCTCAGGCCTAATGGGAAGAGAAATGGAGGGGAGGAGAAGGGATAACCTTGACCCTACCCTTGACTCTGTAGGACTTGAGCTACTCTGTCTCCATTCCCCTTCTGAGATGAATTTGTGTAAATTGGGACAAGTCCCTTGACCTCTCCAGGCCTGTGGTCTCTAGGGCCCTTCATCATCACTGGGTACACCGCCATGTACCCAAGTTTTCTCCCCTCTCCAAATCTCAATCTCAACCCTCCCTGGCTCCAGCACCTTCTGGCACCCATGAAGAGGTCCTGGCTGCTTAACTAGCTTCAATTTGGGTTTGGTTTGGAGACTGGCTACAAGGCCTGTGGCCACTCACTTTGTACTTTTGCCCTCCTTTGATTTTTCTTTCTTTTTTTTTTCTTTTTTTTCTTTTTTTTTTTTTGGTGAGGCGATTGGGGTTATGTGACTTGCCCTGAGTCACACAGCTAGGAAGTTTTGTATGTCTGAGGCCACATTTGAACTCAGGTCCTCTGAGGACCAGGGCCAGTGCTCTATCCACTGCACCACCTAGCTGCCCCCACTTTCGCCCTCCTTAGGCAGTCTAGAGACACCACCGTCCCTCTTCCTGGGAGCTTACCATATTGGTGCCAGTCTTAGTGCAGACACTTAATTGTCTGTGGGGGAAGGGAAGGGATAACATTTCCTATGTGCCAGGCACTGTGCTAAGTGCTTTACAAATACTATCATCTCATTTGGTCCTCACAACACCCCTGGGAGATAGGTGCTATTACCATTCTCATTTTAAAGTTAAGAAAACAGAGGCAGGCAGAAGTGAAGTGACTTTCCCAGGGTTACACAGCTAGGAAGTGTCTGCAGTTGAATTTGAACTCAGGTCTTCCTGCCTCCAAGCCCAGCGCTCTGTGCACTGTGGCGCCCCCTAGCTGCTTTAACCCAACTATTGCTCAGAACTGGGCTCAACAGATCCCCCAGCAGCAGGGATGCCAGGCATTGAGCCACCCATGCGCTACCATGGTAGGTGACTTTCCCAAGATGTCACCACTAGGGAGCAGCAGGGAGGCTGGAGCCCAGGCTGTATCTCTCCTGGCAGTCCAGCAGCCTTCCCATTGCAGCAGGGTCCCCACCCCCAGCTGAGAAGTGCGGCAGCGGCACATCTCCTCAACTGGCCGCCAGCCCCACCTAATTTAGCATTTTCAAGTAAGGACCTGAGACACGTGGAAGGCTCTGAGTTCTGTCTCTGCACACTTGGTCTGTGGCCAGCTCCTCCCCATATCTCTCCCTGGCCCCCACTGAGGCGCAAACCGCCTCCTTCCTGGAACCTCCCCACTTGCCGCCTGCACACCAGCTTCCTTTCCTTGGCTTCCTTTCCGGAGGGAACAGACTTGCCTGCCACTGAGGAAAATTATGTAACAGGAATAGTGCAGCAGGCCTGCGAGCTGCCCACGTGCACCTGGGAGGCCCAGCAGTGGGCTACCACGTGAAGTGGCCCGACCGGGGGAAGGGGCCCAGCTCCCGGCCAGGAAAGAAGGAGAAACGCGACAAGGTCGAGTTCTCTAAGCCCCGCCGCTCTGGCCACCTCAACGATGGCATTCCCCCTCTTGGGGCTCCAGCTTCACCATCTGTCAGATAGAGGGGTCCAAGTGATGAAATGTTTGCTAAGGTTCTTTAATGCTAAATCCCTTGATGGGCCTCAATTTGTTCTTGGGTCCACTGAAGAGGATCTCGAAGGTCTCCCCCAACTCCGATGTCCTGCGTGTCTCAGCCTAAAATAGCCCTAAATGGAGTTAATCTTGGCTTAGATTCCCAGGAACCACGCCCCCCCCCCCATTCCCCATCTAAGCAGCTTCTAGCTTCTCCCCGCAAACTCCACACTTGGTGCTGGTAACATGACTACATCTCCTGTCAAGGATCTAGAGTCCAAGACCAATATGTACTGGGAGAAGAAAGAGCAGATGAACACGCCAGCTTAGCCCCCTCCCCACCTCCCTGCTCTTCCTCAATGCCCCAGAGATTCAAGGACCACTCGCTCCCCTGGCCACTCAAGGTGTCCAAGGATAGGGGGAGTGACCTATGGGCAGGACACCGGCATTCCAGTTTCTTCCTTTGTGAAATGATCACTTCCAAGATTCCTCTGCTTCTAAATCTATGTCCCTCACACCCGGTGGGAGGGCGGCTGCAATGACCTCCAAGGTCCTTCTCAAATTGCTGTGAGCCTATCACTGCAGCTGAGCAACACAAAGAGGATGTGGTCTGACCCCCCCCCCCCCACTGTTGATTGAGGCTCATCCCAGGCCCCCACCTATAGCAGGGCCTGGCCCTATTCCCCCCCCCCCCCCCCATTTTACAGATGGGGAAACAAAGGAGCACAGAGGGAAAGGGACTAGCCCAAGGTCACTTCTGCTTTATCTGCCCTTCTCATCCTCCTCCATGCCAGAACTCGCACCTCCCCAAGTGCTTTTGCTCAAACACTTCCAAGGGCATCCACTCTTAGCTAGCTCTGCTCCAAGAAGTGGGAAGAATACTAAAGGTCTTGGGCTTAAACGCTGGTGTCGTCACTCAGCCGATGGATTGGTCTGGTCTGTCCGTCAGTTGCTCGATGAACATTTATTAAGCACCTACTATGTTACAGACTCCCCAGTGACTCTGTCCAATAGCCCTCAGCTGAACACTCCAGAGGGAAACAGAAGCCTCTTTGTGATGCTTCCCTGAGACATTTTGTTTACAGCAGACTCATCACCCAAACAATCCCTACCCCTAATTCTGAGCCTGTTCCTTGGAGACAGCTCAGCAGGACCAGCCCACAGTAGGACAGCTACACCTCTCTTTTCCATAAGTGGTCTAGGTGTCCAGGTATTTGAAGGAAGTGCTTAACCCAAGCTTCAAACCTGAGGATCACAGGGTCTTAGAGGCCTTAGACAGAAGATGACATTGAGGCTTGCTTGAGGTCCCAAAGCAGGCCCCAAAGGGAATGACTGCCTGCCTCCCCAGCCAGGGAGGGCCCTTTCCATTCCACCACTCACTTGCCCTCCCTTCTCACTCTGCAGCTTCTGAAGAGCTGGATTCTGAAACCGTAGCCTCCCTGGAAAAGTGATTCCTCCTGTTCTTGCCTTTTCTCCTAGCAGTCTCACTGGTAGGCATTTCTCCCAAGGAGGCCAAAGCCAGAAAGAAAGGCCCTCCGTGTACCCAAATATTTGTGGTCACTGGGGAATGGCCAAACCAAAGTGGAGCATGTGAAGGTAATCCAACAACAATGTTGTTGTGCCACAAGAAACAATGAGATGAGGAATTCTGAGAAAGGCAACCAAGAAGAGATCACATCATCTAACTATGATTAACACACCCAGGAACCCCCATCAGAATTGCACAGGACTATGCAATAGTCAACAACATCAACAACAAGAAAGGAGAGAGAGAAAGACTTGGAGGACTCGTGACGACCCTGGTAATGTGACACACTCTGTCAGACCAGGTCTTTTTGCTTTCCTTTTCTAAGAGGGGGTACTATTGGGGGGGGGGGGATTATTGGGAAACGAATATGCAGTCAAAATCAACATGCATTTTTAATAAAACCTAGAAAACGCAAAAGAAAAAAAAAGTGGCTTCCTCTAAATATTAGATGTAGTCCTCAAGCTAGGGGTTGACCAGTACAGAGAACAGTGGAACCATTCCCTTCCTGTTTCCTGACAGAACTGGGGACCCTATTGGCCTCTAAGCCCCCAGAGCTGCCACGTGCAGAGTGGGTGATGGCAGGTGGATTTCCCTGAGGCAGAAGGCTCAAAGGGCTGATAAGAGCCAGAGCTGAGGGAGCTAGGGCACCAGCTTGTCTGGGAAGCTCCAGAAAAGCCACCCCCACCCCTGCTGCTGAAAAGCACTTCCCTCCCATTAGCACATCAACACACATCCCCTGCTTTTCCACCAAGACATACTTGTCTTGGGCAGTGATCTCTAAGCACCTACGTGAGCTCAGCTGCCATACCTTCCTTCCACTCGGTCTCAGAAAGACAGACCTATACAACTAGAGACACACAGACCGAAGAGAGGAAGCTGGGGTCAAGAGAGGCCCCAAACACGTACTACCTTTGGCTTCTGCCAGGCCAGATGGAGGAGGCCCTAGAGGGACCGTAGCCCGTGGCTTCCCACCCCCAAGACCCAGCAAAGGAGGAAACTGGCAAATCGGCCCAGAGAGCCTCCTTATCTGTCAGGAGAAAGGAGACTTGCGCTCCCAGGGAGCCCCAGAGAGGAGGGTGTGGGGATGGCCAGCTTCCAATCCTGTGCCCGCCCCTCCCACAGGGCTCCCGGGGGGTGGGGGGGTGGTGCGGGAAGAAGGCCACGGGGCTCAGAGCCAGCCGAGGATTCGGCCTCCCTCTTAGGGTCAAGCCTCCTAGATCTAGAACTGAAAGGGACGTCAGAGTCCATGCGGTGCCATCCCTTCGTTTTACAGAAATGGAAACTGAGTACGGGAACGGGAAAGGAACTTGCCAAAAGGCACGCGGGTAGCGAGCGGCAGGGTTCCTGACTCAAGCCAAACCAGGCTAAAAAGCCTCCTCCGCGGGCAAAAAGGGTTTGGAGAGCCGGGGGAGATCACTTGCAAGGCTCTGAACCCGGCCGGGGGCACAGATCGAGCCGCTGCTCGGCTCCTTCCTCAGCAGCACCGGCTCAAGGGCAGAGCCCTGGGGGCGGAGCCAAGCCCGGCCGCCCAAGGGGAGGGGGAGAGGGAGGGGGAGGGGGAGGGGGAGGGGGAGGGCCGGGGGCGGGGGCCGCGGGGCAGGCGGCCATGCCGGGACCCGGCGAGGGCCCCCCGCCCCCCGCCCCCCGCCCCCCGCCCGCATCCACGCATGCCCGTATGGCAGCCAGGTCCCCAGCCCGCTAGGGCGGCTCGGGCAGAGCTCCCACGTGCGCACACACGCGCGGGCACAGACCTCTCCCCCGCCCCCTCCCACCCGGGACACCCGCGCAGACCCCGCCCCAGGGCCCACTCCGGCGGCCTGCCTTACTTTCTCCGAAGCGTCGTGGCCGGGCTCGTGCTCCCGCTGGTGCTGTGGCCCCCGCCCGCCCCCGGACTGGAGCTCCTGG